AAATATATTAAAAAAAAAAAAAGAACAAAGCATAATCTGGCAAAAAAAAAAAAAAGTTTAGTCTACTCTCATAATTATTCCATGTTTATAATTCAGTCTGGAGAAAGAATTAAAACCTAACACTCTTACCCAATACAAAGTGTCTCTCTCCCAGGCTTTGTGCCTGATCTAGACTGGGAAACCTGGAGGGGAGAAAAAGGTTCAGAGTTTCCTTCCCTATATCCTACCTCTCCCTTCCTTCTTCCTTTCCATTAGTAGTTACTAAATAATAAATTATATTGGAATATTCCCCATTTTCTTAAAAATTTCCCCGTGTACAAATATTGTCATTGCTCTCAGATAGAAGATAAAAAGTTTTACTTGGCAAGAAGTAAGTTTTTCTTCTTTCCCTGACAGTCAATTGAAAGCCTTCAGTTTTCTTATAGACGTTTAAACAAGGTATCCATGGAAAATGGTGTCGTTTGGAAACTCCCTGGAGTCACTAAATTAAAAATAAAAATCCTTGATGATTTGATATGGGCCTATTACCAAATGGGTAAAAATTTACCCATATACACAGACAATGGTTTGGTGATAGGCCAAGATAAGTGGGGTTGGGAACTGGGTAGAGGTGCAAAGGAAGGAGGAAATGGGGCATCTGTAATAATCTCAACAATAACAATAACGTTTAAAAGAGGGGAAATAAAGTTTATTGAAAGACATAAAAGGAGACATGAAAATAAATAACATGATTCTGAAGATGAAAGAAAAAAGTAAATTGCATCATTTCTCTTTTTTGTCCTAATCTGTTCCAAATAATGTTCTAGCAGCAATTATTCTTTATAGTGTACAAACTGATAATAAAATGTTACAGAAAGGATTATTGTTAGCAATGAGGCTTTTTCCCCAAATTATAATTTTTATTTTCACTTAATATTTCCTCACAATATCTATTTCTTCTGGATTCCTATTTCCTATTTCAAAGCCATCTTTTTATCTTGGAAAACACATCAAAATGCCTAAGATTTCTGGCATTCATAACAAAAATTTGTTTTAAATTCAGTATCTTTCATCAACATTGGAAAATAGATTTGTGTTCCTGTAACCACTTCATATTAAATCTAAAAATAGGATAGTCAGTGAAGGGGGGAGATTTAAAAAGAGATGCACTTAGCTGAACTAAACCTTTGAAATATGAATTAAGAGACTACACAAGTAAGGTGAAAATTTTCAAAGTTTCTGAAAAAATTAGTGTTACAACCCATGGGACTGATGAAACACACACATACACACACACACACACACACACACACACACACAAAATCAACGAAAATAGTGCAGTTTCCAAAAGTTTGTGAGATTCTGTATCTCACAAATGATGAACGGCTTCATGACAGAAGTATTTTAAAATTACAAAATTTTTTGGCTACTGTATTGCATCTGGCAGATTAAAATTTTTAATTTAACCATTATTATAATCAACATAATTTTTAAGTGTCTAACAAAGCAATATGTCAAAAACTTATTTTGCAAACTATGAGATTCTACCTAGTGTTAATTATTGTTAACATTTGTTCACATGTTTTGCTAATGAGCACAAAGACACAAGTCAGTAACAATCATAAATGATTCATTTCATGTATAATGATTTTAAAATGTTTATTCACAGAAATACATTAACTAGTAACATATACCATATGTGTACATTAGCATAATTTATGAAAAGCAAAATCAAATGTTTTCTTAAGATTGTTTCAAACATCAAAAGATACTGTCAATTAATTTTAATTTTTTCTAGTATAAATAATTTTCTTAGAGAAATATTTTAGTGACATTTATTCAGTAAACATTTTAAGTTATATTCAATATTAATTAGCTAAAATATGAAATATCTCATTTCTTTTTCAAGTATGTTTTTTACAGAAAATTGAACAACATTTAAAATAATCAAAAATTTCAATCCTATATCTAAAAACCATGTTCAGATTTTGGTATATTTTTCCCAGTGTTGTGTGTGTGTGTGTGTGTATGCAAGCATATTTTCTAATATTCTGCAGATCATATTACATTTACTTTGGTATATAGGTTTTTTTTTTTTTTGCACTTGGCATTACCATGGGCCTTCTTCTAGGCTATTGCTATTTTTCATGTAATTTTTAATGTGGTCATAACAATTAACTGAATGCATATACCCAAATTTATACATTAGATATTTAAAAAAAATATTTAAAAGTCTCTATTCATAAAATGTATTTTATACTTAGAATAAATTTCTTTAGGATGGATTAGGAAAAAAAGGAACTACTACTTAAAAGACTACCTTATCAGATATTGAGATGTCATCAACAAAAAAGGCAAAAATTCTCAATAGCTTAATATAATGATAATTATTTCTTATGTACACTAACTCTTAAGAATAGCATGAGATGGAGTGGTGATGGCGAGAATTCTTCAATAATTTTCCTTGAACAAATTTTTTTTGTCTTTCCAAAATAAACAGCAGTATCAAAGGGACTTGGACCTCTGCAAATCGGGACTAAAATTACATCAGAAGAAACATGTGAGATAAAGAAAAGGAAGTATTTATCCTTATGGTGTCAATACTACTCCTGTCCAGATCTTCTTTTTGAGACTCCTTTACTTGCCCTGGATTTGGAGCTAGGGGTTGTCCACACTTAAGGCATTTCGGATTTGGGAAGTTTCTTGCTTTGGGAGTTAGGGTTCCAATAGTGGCCTTGTCATTTTAACCCTTTGAATCAAAGGAATTTAAATTACTAAAGACAATTTTTTTTTAAAGGATAACATTTTGAAAATTTATGATAGGTTGTGACAAAAATTTTCCAATGTTTTACTCTGGAACTCCTTAATACATAAAGATGAAAGTCTTTTAAAAAATAAGATAATGTGTAGGACATGCTTTATTAAGGGCAGCACTTAGAGTCCACTTGAGTGGTCATGAATTTAAATTGAGGCCAGATCAAGACCTATCCGTTTCTCTTAAGGCACTATCAATGCACAGACACAGCATAGGGAGGACTGATATTTCAATTTAAGCCGGGCTGGGATTTGTAAGGTGAGTATGAGAAAAAAGAGAATAGCTAGAGAGCTGAGAATAAATGCAAGGGAATATTAGAATGGTGCACAATAGACTGTGGGGGTACGGGTAGGGTAAGGAGTAGAGAAGGGTTAGGATGTGGTAGAGATCGAAAGAGAGAGGACGGTGATCCCAATGGAATCCACAAATTATTATTTTTAAAAAAATATATTTTATTGATTTTTCACAGAGAGGAAGGGAGATAGAGAGTTAGAAACATCGATGAGAGAGAGTCATTGATTAGCTGCCTCTTGCACACCCCCTACTGGGGATATGCCCACAACCAAGGTACATGCCCTTGACCGGAATCGAACCTGGGACCTTTCAATCCTCAGGCCGACGCTCTATCCACTGAGCCAAACCGGTCTCGGTGGAATACACAAATTATTGTAATTTGGATAATGGAGAGAGTTCAGAAGATTGGAGATGAGGCTGAAGAGTGAGATGATTGGATTGAGAATATGGAAGGACATGGTGTTTGGTTATGGCAAGACTTAGTGTATGACTTCAGGTGTAAGTGGCTCATGGTGTTACAGAAAACTGGAATTGCTCAGAGAGTTTGGAGTCACATTTTATTCACTAGTGAGTTCAGAGTAAAATGAATTCAAATTCTAAGCAGAGCTACAAGCAAAACTTCCCTTTTTATTAAAGAGCCAACCCAATGTGTGCTTAATGGTTCTCTCACTGATGGCCTTGAAAACAACACAGTTCTATCCAATTAAAAAATATACCTGCCATGGCATTGAAAGTATGTGGGTATCTAGTCTCTGGCCTATAAGGTCAGACAGCTATGTTTATCTTCCTCATTATTCAAGCAGGCTAAAGCAGGCTAGAAAGCAAAGTTGTTGTTGTTATTTTAGAATAACAGGCCATCTAAAAAATCGCAGAGAATTCCAATTTGCAGTTTTACAAAATAGGGGTTAGCCTTCTCAATGGGATGAAAGATCAGATCACTGAGGAGGTGTTGGAAATGGAAGGCCAGAGAGAAAGCTCATCTGTGTGGTTATTGAAATCAGAATAATTACTAGAGGCATAGGATTAGCGATGCAACGAAAATCTCAATGATCTCAGACTGGTCTGAGACTAAGCAATGCCCAACATGGTCTGAGTACTGGTTAGAAATGCAAATTTTCAAGTCCCATTAAGACTTCTTGAAGGAGAATCCCCAGGGGTGGTTGCTTCCCTTGATGGGCCAAGAAGTTTGAGAACTACCTATGCAATAGCTTAGATAAGAGAAAAGTTAATGGCTTGAAGAAGTAACAAAGTTTTCAAAGAGGTAGTAGTATATTTAAACTACACCTGAAGTCATTTCAAGGTTCAGCAGCACAGGGCCTTAAAATGAAAGAGAGTCTCATTTATAAAGAATAGACTCATGGAATTCTGTAAACGTGTAAAGGGTTAGCTGTTACTATCCGAAAACCATGCCTTGCCAGGAAGACACCGGTTCTTCAGGAATCCTGATACCACATCACATACTTCTTTCACCTCACACCTGCTTTTTAAGTCATCCCTTCGGGCTCAGTATAGAGTGGGAGCTTGGAGAGCAGGTGTGGCTGCCCTGGCACACCCAGACGTTCCCCAGGTTTCCGACATCTTTATGAAACCTGGGAGGAATGATGCCTGGGCATCGGTGTATGACATTGGGCCGTCCCAGGAGGCGTGGGCCCTTTAAGAACGGCGAGCCCCGGCGTCCGCGGGTGTTTTCAATCAACTCCAGGCGGCCCCGGGGGCGGGGCTAGCGCGGTGACGTCACTGCAGGGCGCCGGGCGCGCTTTTTCGGCGGCGGATTCAAACGGTGGAGCCGACATCGCGGTCGCAGGGAGCTGCTCCTCGGCCGGCCTGTGTCCGCTCTGCCCGCGGCCGGCTGCTCCTGCGCGGCGCCGGGGGGACCCCGCGGGCCGAGGCGCCGGGTGCCTGACGGGGAGGCATGGCGGTGGCGGCCACCCTCTCCCAGAGGAGGCGGGTCAAGCGCAAGGCTCCCCGCGGCTTTCTGCGGCGCGTCTTCAAGCGGCAGAAGCCTCACCTTCATCTGGGGACCCGGTGCGACTTGCTGGTGAGTTCTCTGCCTGTGGGCGCTTGCGGTGGGGCAGGGGCAGGTCGGGGGAGTCAGCCCCCCCCCCGCCCCCCATCTTTTATTTTGGGGCCTCGGACGAGCTCGTTCTTCCAGGCCCGTGTGTAGGGCGCGTCCCGCCCAGAACACGGGGGTTTGCTCGCATCCTTGGCGCTTGGAGGCCACTGAGATGGAGCTCTCGGTGCCTTTCTTTATTTTTTCTTTCTTTCTTTATTTTTTTTACTCTAGAAGGCTATGAGCCATATCAACGTAAGGAGAAAAAACTCAAATGGCGTTAAGTTTTTCCTGCTTATCGCTTTCCCATAACCGCTGTTCAGGGGCACAATATGGAACTGAGTGGAGTGTACTTGCCAAAGGAAGAAAGATACGGCCGTTGATGAGTAGATTTTGGAATTCGGGCCGGGTCATTTAAAAAAAAATATATCTTATTGATTTTTTTTTTTTTTTTTTTTTTTTTTTTTTTTACAGAGAGGAAGGGAGAGAGATAGAGAGCTAGAAACATCGATGAGAGAAAAACATGGACCAGCTGCCTCCTGCACACCCCCCACTGGGGATGTGCCCGCAACTTAGGTACATGCCCTTGACCGGGAATCGAACCTGGGACCTTTCAGTCCACAGGTTGAAGCTCTATCCATTGAGCCAAACCGGTTTCGGCCATTTTTTTTTTATTTATTTTTTTAAATTTTAACTATTGTAAAAGGCATTACTGACATGCCTTTTTACCTTGTTAACCCAATATATTGCCTTGTTTTCTCCGCTTTTTAGCTTGCTTACTATAGAACCCTGATTCAGAAAGGTAATTTGTAAGTAGTTTGCTCTCAGCTGCGAATTCGTTTTCCTGGACAGACATGAACGTCTGTTAATTCAATTTCCAAGCCAAACCTCTCTCTGACTCATAATGCCTGTAGCATCATGCTTAAGCTAGCCAATAGCCACCACCAAGCCGCTGTGAAATAAATTCGGAGTTTTCATGTACAGTGCCTGGAACATGAACTCCTCTGGCAGCATGAACACTGTTTTCCCCTAAGGTTTAAACCGTGGGAGACGCCTAAGGTTTGTTACAAGAGCCCTTTGAGTGAAGGAGACATTATAAGTGGGTACCTAATTTTCAGGAGATCAAGATCAAGAATTGTGGCTAACAAGGACATTATAGAATTGTCTTCATTTTTCCTTTATTTGGTCTCTGAAGCCAAAATAAACATTTAAAAATATTTTATTGATTTTTTTTTTTTTTTTTTTACAGAGAGGAAGGGAGAGGGATAGAGAGTTAGAAACATGGATGAGAGAGAAACATCGATAAGCTGTCTCTTGCACACCTCCTACTGGGGAAGTGCCTGCAACCAAGGCACATGCCCTTGACCGAAATCGAACCTGGGATGTTCTACCGACTGAGCCAAACCCATCAGGGCCAAAACAAACATTTTTGTTTCTGGCTGGAAAAAATAGCCATCCCATTTAACACCTCCTATCCTACTTTTTTTTTGTTCCTGTTTTAGATCCCATAAGAAAAGACAATATCTATTCTGTTTTGTAACCATCACCCCCTTTACCCCCAGTGGTGATGATAAAGGTAGCACAGGTGCCTTGGGTTCAAGTGAAATTGATTTACAAGCCATTTTTAGGTCATTTTTTTCTGCAGTTTTCATTGGTCCTGGAGTCCCAAGTGGGTGGGAAGAAATGTACCTGCTCAAGGCTATCCAGGAGACTGTTAAATAGGTTGGCAAAAATTTCTCAGTAATCAGCTTCCTCTTCCATTCACACCGTCTGCCCCAAAGTGACTCATGGACAGCAGGTGGGAACCAGCAGGAGAGAAGGTGAGCTGAAATCCCGAGCATTCTCAGAGGAAGGGAAATGAGTTTCTTTAGGTCACTATCTCTTCTTAGGTCCGATGCTGTTCTTTGGCTTTTGCTTGCTCTCCTTCATTCTGTGTGTGTGCCATGCATCACCCTGGTTTCTTTGCTTAAGGTTTTCTGCTTGCCATTGACACTTCATAATCTTACCCAGCAGATGTCCCACATCATCCATAAACCTTTCTACAGTTAAGGCAGCTTGCTTTGACCTTTTCCTCCCCTGAATTTTGATAGCAGAGAAGGTGTACATCATACGGTTTAGCTATTGGTAATTTGACACTGTTCACTAGGAATTTTACATATCACTTTTGTCTCCTGTGGTAATGCAGCTTTCTTCAGGGGAAGGAACTATACATATCTCTTTTTTGTGTCTCCCATTATCTTTAACACAAAACTAATCTCCTTTTATGTTGTGTTTTGTATATGGTATTTCTTCTGCCTGAGATGTCCTCACTCTACTCAGCAAACAACAGTTCTTTCAAAACCCAGTTCAAATACCACTTCCTCAGTGAAGCCTTTCTGAATCTCCCTAGAAAGGATTAACTCTATTTTACTCTGTCATCTACTTGTTTTCTTTATAGGTTTGGTTCTGCCATTGGCCTGGGAAGTTTGGGAATATTTTATTCCTAATGTTTAATGTAACACCTTGAATATTGTAAGTTTACAGTTAATATGGGACTGCATGGAAAAGAGACTTATTTTTGACACTTTTGTAGACTCTTGTTTCATATTTTTATTTTGTAGACTCTTGTTTTATATTTTTATTTTGCAATCTAGATTCACAAGAAGTGGCAAAATAGTAGAAATTACTTATGTATCTTCTATCCAGCTTTCCACAATACTAACAACTTACTTAACTACAATCCTTGTGGAGTTTTGAATTTTGTTCTATCTGCTTATTATCTATTTTAAATAATTTCTTAAAAGGTGACTTAAAGATTAACTAATAGTAGATATGATTATTTTGGTATTGTTAGATAATAAGCAATGACCTTTGTATATATACTCTTCAACTCAGTAAATCTTCAGAATTTCAATTATTACCTTTTTTTGAATAGGTCTTTCAAATACCTGATTAAAAAAAATCTTTAGCCTTGGATTAAAAGATTGAAAGATGATTAGCCTTAAATATGTTGTTTTGATTTTAAATTTTGGGAAAATTTTAAATACATAAGTTATTTGGAATCAGAAGCAGGAATATTTGTTACTTAATAAAGTTCTACATAAATTGTGATCTAAGGATTCTTTACAATAATGCTATTGTCTATAACCTTTGGTTAGCCTTACATGGTCTTTTTCAATAACTGTCTCATTTGTATGGAATCTAAGATGGACCTATATTAAAATAGATTCTGTTACTTTAAAAAATAATTTATTTAATCATAATACTAAATTAGTACAACATTACATTTTGTTATCTTTTTATTTTTAAAAGCCCTTATTTTGGAACATCAATATTTTAAAAATACTTTTGAATTTTCTCTTTTAAAGGTGCATCTGAACTGTTTACTGTTTATTCGTCGCCTGGCAGAAGAGTCCAGGACAGATGCTTGTAAGAATAAGTGTGGAATCATTAAAGACCAGCATGTACTGGCTGCAGCAAAGGTAAGGCCTGACTTATTTATTTATTTTAAATATCTTTTTACTGATTTTAGGAAGGAAGAGGGAGAGAGAGATAGAAACATCAATGATGAGAGAGAATCATTGATCAGCTGTCTCTTGCACACCCCACACTGGGGATCAAGCACACAGCCCGGGCATGTGTCCTGATCAGGTATGGAACCATGACCTTCTGGTTCATAAGTCCACACTCAACCCCTGAGCCACGTTAGCTAGACATGAGTTTTGTTTTTGTTTTTTCTTGAACGAGAATTGATTTTAAAAGTACCACTTGGTTCATCACCTCTGCCTGATTTAGATTTTTTTATTCAGCTGTGTCTACTCAGTTGACACTTAGCTTTTCATGTTAATGGATTTAATTAAGGAGTCAGATTTTCTTTCTCTCTTTGGATCGCTGATGCAAAGATTCATGGCCACTGATTTATTACTGTTTATGGGAAAATTAATATTTGGCTGTAATATGTAGGATTTGTAGTGGGCTATAGATAGTTGAGAAGGTTATCACCTTGAAATATATCAAACTTTTCTTCTTGATCATTTTGCTTTTCTAATTGCCTATTTGTTTTTCTAACTGTATTTTGTGTGACTTATGACTCAAATTACTTGTAAAAACAGAGAGATTGCTTCTTACTGGTAGTTCTATATAATGTGAGAGTAGGAGACCTAGGGCAGAGTTTTTTCCAAATATATTCCTAAGGTCATTTCCACTTGATGTTTGTAAATGCCCCACCATGAAAAGCTGGTGTCAAGATACATTTAGATAACATACTATATCTCCTTGAATAGTCACAATGTTATTATGTATATAGAATCTGTTACTATAAGAATATGCAAGAAATTGGCAACCATGGTTCACTGCGAGGGATGTGGGAGAGAGATTTACTTTTGACACTGTATATCTTTGTATACTTTTGTTTTGAAATAATTATAAACTGACAGAAAGTGCATAAATAATATAGAGGGTTCCATGTACTTTTTGTTCATCTTTGCACAATGTTAATATCTTTATATAACTATTAGAGGCCCAGAGCATGAAATTGGTGCATTGGGGAGGGGGTGGGGAAGTCCTGCACCCTCTCTAGTCTGGGAACCTCTTGGTGGATCGCTGGCTCCTAACCTCTCACCTGCCTTCATGCCTGATCGCCCCTAACCACTTTGCCTGCTTGTCTGCTTGCCCAACTGCCCCCCCCCCCTCCAGCCTTCTCACCCCCATATACCTCCCCTTGCCAGCCTGATTGCCCCCAGCTGTCTCCTCTTTTTCCCTCCCCCCACCAGCCTGCTCATCCCCAACTTCTCCCCTGCTGGCCTGCTTGCTTGCTTCTTGCTTCCAATTGCTCTCAACTCCCCGCTGGCCTGATCACCCCCAACTCCCCTCCCCTCCTGGCCTGATCATCCCTAACCATCTCTGCCTTGGCCCCACCAACATGGCTTTGTTCAGAAGGTCTCCTGGTCTAATTAGCATATTACCCTTTTATTAGTATAGATAGTTATGTAAAGTTATAAAAGGTTATGGGAAATATAGCAGTAAAGAAACTTGTTGAACTCTGTTTAACTTAGCATTTTGTAAATGTGAATACATAATATACTCAACATTTTGTAAATTCATTTAAATACATAGTACTTTTGTAGTATCCATACATCAAACAGAGAAATACTAACTTAGGATACATACCTATTTGGTGGCATATGTGCAAGCCTAGAAATGTTCATACCTTGGAAATTTTTTTTTAGGGGTTTCAAATTTTCTTAAAATTATAAACATTATAACAAGATTCTAGACTATTAAAGTCAGTTTTTCTGTAGGTGAATCAGTGTTTACGAGCTTGAAGAATGTATGTATTTTAAATTTAGGGTTTGTTTTTATTAACAAATGATAGGTATGCTTAACCTAAAAGTAGGTAAGTTCTTTAAAAAAAGAGGGTGCAGGTCTAATGCTTCTCATCTTTTAAGATTAAAGACCTGTTATTTTATTTCTGTCATGGACTATTATGTTTTGAAAATTGTCTATTTAACAAGCTTTTCAGCATTAGATGACTAGTCTTGGTCTTTAAATTGATATAATTCCAGAACAAATGTAGAAAATATGGTGTTGCAATGGGTTTGTATTGTTTTATAGTTGTTAAATGCTCAGTTTATAAATAAGATTTTAGAAGTTTAGAACATTCTGTAACTCTTACGATTACTAAATTGTCTACCAATGTTGGGAAAATTAATATGGACACTTTTGGCTTACAATTGAAGAAATTAACATCTAGAACTGTCTATAAAACCAGATTTTGAGAATCTACACGTTTTACATTATTTGAGAGAAGTAGAAGTCTCAGACAATTTATAAGGCAAAAAGATTCCCTTATCATCTTCTGTATTGGGTTTTATACATTCAGAGTCTTCCATATTATAAACATAGGAATATTTAAATTTTTGTTGAGGATTATGTTTTATTTGCTATAGGTATAATATGAATCTTCATATTTTCTCTCCTTCACAGGTAATGCTAAAGAAGAGCAGAGGTTAGAAGTCAAAGAACACATTTTTGAACTTTATATGATGAATTTTTTTATTTTAGTTGATAACAGATCATGAAAGCACTTTTTACATATTAGTTAATATTGTGTATTAAAATATTGGCTGCTTGGGGGATGTGTGCATTTGTGTATTCTTTTACTAGCATTGAAACATCTCAAACAGTATCTAACTTTATTTTTTAGGAATATGTTTCATTCACTTTAAATGGACTCAAGTTCATTTTACTTTTGTTTGGTTAGTATTGCAAATGTTTTGCATATTAAAAATGAAATTTTACTATGTGAAGTAGCTTGAAGGGATGTATTTCTTGAAATTAAGCTTATAAGTATTTACCTTTACATACAGTGGAATTAATTTAACTTTTGAAAAAGTACAATGCAATCAAATCTAGTTCCATTTAAATAATTTTAACTCCTTTTTAAAAAAAATAAAATAAATTCTTTCTTGTTGAAAGTATTACATATGGCTCCTTTTCCCCCCATTGACCTCTCCCCAGCCACTCCCACCCCCAGCACATGCCCTCACCCCCTTACTGTCTGTCCAATGGTTATGTTCCTGTGCATGCATACAAGTCCTTTGGTTTGGTTGATCTCTTACCCTGCCCCTCTTCCTTCTGAGGTTTGATGGTCTGTTCGATGATTCTATGACTCTGGATCTATTTTTGTTCATCACTTATGTTGTTCATTATATTCCACAAAATGAGTGTGATCATGTGATATTTATCTTTCTCTGACTGGCTTATTTTGCTTAGCATAATGCTCTCCAAGTCCATCCATGCTGTTGCAAGTGCTAAGAGTTCCTTTTTTTTTTTTTTTTTACAGCAGCGTAGTATTCCATTGTGTAGATGCACCACTGTTTTTTAATCCATTCATCTGCTGATGGGCACTTAGGCTGTTTCCAAATCTTAGCTATGGTAAATAGTGCTGCTGTGAACGTAGGGGTGCATATATCCTTTCTGATTTCTTAGGATATATTTCTAGAAGTGGGATTACTGGGTTAAATGGGAGTTCTATTTTTAACTTTTTAAAATATATTTTTATTGATTCAGAGAAGAAGGAAGAGGGAGAGAAAGATGGAAACATCAATGAGGAGAGAGAATCATTGATCTGCTGCCTCCTATATGCCCCTTACTGGCGATTGAGCCCACAACCCTGGCATGTGCCCTTGATCTGAATCAAACCCAGGATCCTTCAGTCCACAGGCTGACATTCTGTCCACTGAGCCAAACCAGCCAGCGCCCATTTTAAATTTTTTGAGGAAACTATGCTGTTTTCCACAGTGATTGCACCAGCCTGCATTCCCACCAGCAGTGTACCAGGGTTCTTTTTTTTCCTTCACATCTTCGCCAACACTTGTCATTTGTTCATTTGTTGATGGTAAACATTATGGCAGGTATGAGGTGGTACTTCATTGTTTTGGTTTGCATCTCTTGGATGATTAGTGACTGACCATTTTTTCATATGTCTCTTGGCCTTCTGTATGTCTGCTTTCAGAAAGTGTCTACTTAGGTCCTTTGCCTATTTTTGATTGGATTGTTTATCATTTAAGTTGTATGAGTTCCCTATAAATTTTGGAGATTAAAGCCTTATTGGATGTAACATTGGCAAATATATTCTTCCATGCAGTGGACATTCTTGTTAATGGTTTCTTTTGCGGTTGCAGAAGCTTTTTATTTTGATGTAGTTCCATTTGTTTATTTTCTCCTTAGTTTCCATTGTCCTAGGAGATGTGTCAGTAAAGATATTGTTACATGATATGTCTATATTTTGCTGCCTATGGATTCTTCCAAGGTCTTTATGGTTTCTCATCTTATGTTTAAGTCTTTTATCCATTTTGAGTTTATTTTTGTGTATGGTGTAAATTGGTGATCTAGTTTCATTATTTTACAGCATCTGTCCAATTTTCCCAATATATTTATTGAAGAGACTGCCTTGACTCTGTTGTATTCTCTTGCCTACTTTGTCAAATGTTAATTGAGCATAATAGCTTGGTTGGTATTGCAAATGTTTTGTATATTAAAAATGAAATTTTACTATATGAAGTAACCTGAAAAGATGTATCTATTGAAATTAAGCTTATAAGTACTTACCTTTACATACAATTAACTATGGAATCAATTTAATCTTTGAAAAACTACAATGTGCAATCAAATGTAGGTCCATTTAAATAATTTTAACCCTTTAATGCCTTTGTGACCTGCATTACTTACTGAGTTGTACTTTATGGTATTTATATACCACAGTTTTTGTATAACTATTCACCCACTGAGGGCCATTTGGTTATTTCCAGTTTTTTACTATTACAACTAAAGCCCATTTATGAGTTTTTACACAGATACAAATTTTCATTTCTGTGGGATAAATGCCCAGGAGTGTGATTATGGATCAAATGGTAAGAATATGTTTAGTTTTTAAAAAAGAAGTAGCCCAACTGTTTTCCAGAGTGACTATCATTTTTTATTCCCATCAGCTGTTTATGAAAGATCCACTTTCTTCACATTCTCATGAATATTTTATTTTAGCTGTTCTTATTGGAGTGTGTCTCTTTAAGCTTTCAAATTTGCATTTACTTAATGGCTAATGGTTGTTGCACATATTTTCATATGTTTATTTGTTATCTTTTCTTCTTTGGTGAAATATTTCTCCTTTTTTGGTACATTTTCTGTTTGGGTCTTTTGTTTTTTTAATGTTGAATTTTGAGAGTTCTTTATTCTTGGTATGGGCCTCTGTCAGTTAATGGGGTTTGCAAATATTCTATTGTGTTGCTTTTATTTTTAACAGTCTTTTGAAGATCAACAGTTTTTAATTTTGGTGAATTCTAATTTATGGGATTTTTTTCCCCATGTATTGGTGTCATGTTTTAAGAACTCTTCACCAAACTCTAGGTCCTGAAGGTTTTTTTCCTATACTATTTTTTTTTTTTTACAGGTTTTGTAGTTTGTTTTACCCTTAAATATCTGATCTGTTTGCGTTAATTTTTGTATAAGGTGTGAGATTTAGGACAAGGTTCATTTTTATATTTGTAGATACCCAATTGTTTAAGCACCAAGTTATTGTTTATTTAAATATATTTTATTGATTTTTTACAGAGAAGAAGGGAGAAGGAGAGAGAGAGTCAGAAGCATCAATGAGAGAGAAACATCTATTAGCTGCCTCCTGCACACTTCCTATTGGGGATGTGCTCACTACCAAGATACATGCCCTTGACTGGAATCAAACCTGGGACCTTTCATTCCGCAGGCCGACGCTGTATCCTATGAGCCAAACCAGTGAGGGCAAAGCACCAAGTTTTTTTTACTTTCTTTTTTACTTTTTTCATAAATTTATTGGTCATATTTATATGGGCTATTCTTGGGTTCTGTATTCCACTGTTTTATTTTTTCAGTCCTCCACCAATAACATGTGGGTTTTATTAATGTGGCAATATAATCAATGTAGTAGAATGATTTCTCTTACTTGATTCTATCTTAGAATTGTCTTGACTTTTCTAGTTTCTTCGCCTTCCATAGAAATTTTAGAATAATGTTTGTATCTACTAAAGAATCTTGCTGGAATTTTCATTGGTTTGCATTAAAAATGCATATCAAGTTGGGGAGAATTGGTATCTTAACTCTATTGAAATTTCTGGTCCATGTATGTGGAATATCTTTATATATTTGATTTGTAGTTTTTACTTTTTACATTTCCTTTCTGTTTAGAGCCGTGGTCGGCAAACCGTGAGCCACGTGTGGCTCTTTGGCTCCTCGAGTGTGGCTCTTCCACAAAACACCATGGCCTGGGCGAGTCTGTTTTGAAGAAGTGGCGTTAGAAAAAGTTTAAGTTTAAAAAATGTGGCTCTCAAAAGAAATTTCAATTGTTGCACTGTTGATATTTGGCTCTGCTGACTAATGCGTGTGCCGACCAAACTCATCAGTCAGCATTTTGTTATTGTTTTAGTGCAGGTCTGCTGGTGACAGATTTTCTCAGTGGCCTTCATTTGAGGATGTCTTGATTCCTTCTGAATTCTTGAAGCATATTTTTGCTGGATATAAAATTTGGGGTTGAGCTGGGACCGGTTTGGCTCAGTGGATAGAGCGTGGGGACTGAAGAGCCCCGGGTTCGATTCCGGTCAAGGGCATGTACCTTGGTTGCGGGCATATCCCCAGTAGTGGGTGTGCAGGAGGCAGCTGACCGATGACTCTCTCTCATTGATGTTTCTAACTCTCTATCTCTCTCCCTTCCTCTCTTTACAAAAAAATCAATAAAATATATTTTAAAAAAAATTGGAGGTTGAGAGGTCTATTTTCCTTTTTTTAACACTACAAACTTTTTAACCCTATCTTTTTGTTTTCCTTCTGGGTCTCTGATGACTCAGATATAAGATATTATTCTATATTTGTACAAATTTTTGCTTGTTTTATTTTTAGTATATTGTTCTTTGTTGTTTAGATTGGCTGATTTCTTGTTTAGATTGGCTGATTTCTGTTTCATCTTGTAGTTAACAGATTATTTCCACTTGTCTTCCCGCTTCTGCTGTGACCATTTGAATGGTTTTTTTAAATTTTTAGTTACAGTATTTTTCAGTTTTCAGAGTTCCTTTGAATCTCTTCTTTATTATTCTCTGTATCTTTGTTGAGACTTTCAATTTATTTATTTATTTCAGATGTGTTTGTAATGACTCATGCATTTTTATGATGGCTGTTTTGAAATCCTTGTCTCATGATTCTAACATTGTGCTGTCTTGGTATTGGCATTCATTTATTACCATTCAGTTTGAGATCTTCTTGAGTCTTTATTGTGAGTGATTTTTTTATAACACTTTAAAAATGTTATTCCACATCTTCAGACTTCTATCATATTTTTGAGAAGTTTGTAAGTCTTAAAATAATATGTCAGCCCCCCCTCCCCCCACACACGTACACACTATTAAGGCTTTCCCCTGTTAGTAAAACCTTTTAGGTTTTCAGCAATCTTATTATGTTTAATTCCCTTAGGCTTTGTTTTGTTCATT